TTGGGAATATGTTTAATTTGAGTACTGGTAGCACACGTGAAACAAAGGACCTGAATTGAAATGCACCTAAATTCCCGCCTTAGGACACAAGGAGAAAAACTTGCTTTGCAGAACCAATTATTTCCACCAGTGTATTCTGGAACCTGTATATCTCTCTTCCCCAGCATTCCCCTAGTCAATGCTCCATATCCTGGCAAACAAAGGAAAACTGGATGATCTAATACAGAATTAAGCTACAGCTAGAGAGCTGTTGGCACATGCCTTGAGTGTGTTGGAAAACACTAGGCTAAAAAACACAAATGGATAAGTGAGTCTTTTAACTGCAGGGCACCCAGAGATTCCTTTTGCACCCCCTTCTTCTCCCCCAAATACCCAGCTCTTCCAGCACGTTTCAAAATAGTGGATAGGGTCATAAATCATTTCTGTGAATGAGCAGCTTGACCCTTCAAATAAAGGGGCAACAGTAAAGTATTGCTTTTTCTCCTTCACCCCTGCATGTCCCCCACCACCAGCCATGATGACCTCATCACCTCTCAGCCTCACCAGGCGCTCTGTCTTTCACCCACTCACTACCACCCCAAATAGACAATGAAGATACAATGGGATTTTGTGGGTGTGAAGCCATGCACTATTGATAGTTGACACATTACTGTGACATCTTGTGTCTCAAACCAACCAGTCAGAATACAGCAGAGAACCTCAGTCTCCCAAGCCAGATTCCAATGAGTTCTTTCTCCATCCAGAATACCTATGAAGTATCCCTTCCTCATCCTGAGACTGGAAACGGACCAGGGAGTCAAACTCAGATTGTCTGCATGGCAGGACAGAGCGTTAACCTGTGAGGCAATGGGTCTGGCCTTGGCCCCCCTCTGAGTCCTGGTTCCTGCTTGTGAGTTGCTGAACCTACAGTGACTTGATAAAGACTTGGGGAATTGGATGGAAGCAGTTCAGCAATTTGCGGGTTTAACCCTTCACCCCTAAGGCTTGCAAATCACAAGACCTTAGTTTTTTTTTAAATGGGTCATAAATTAACCATATGAAAACTGTCTAGCCCACAACTAGATCGCAAAGTTAAATTTTATTAGGGTCAAAGGGAAAAAAATTGTATAAGTACCAAGCAAACAATGAAACCTTTTACAAAGGGAAAGCCATCATTTTTGAAAATCTCTGAAAATCCACATTTCAAAAGCAAGATAATTTATCCTGAGAAAGCAGGAAGGTGTTAGGAAATCCTCAGTACTGCTCTTTCCCTCCCATCCCAACACCCGCCACCCCATTACGCATGAAGACACAAATTGTGCAGTGCGGCTTCCTCGAGCAGCTCATTCCACTGAATGCATTTATTTAGAAGTAATCTTCTCATTATTGACTGTTATTTGCTTAAATGTCAGCACCGTGCAAAGCCCAACAGCTCTGACCTATGAATTATTAACAGAAGAAGGGAGCCTTAACATTTTCCTATCAGAAAGTTCACCTGTTGCTCTGTGTTCCCCATGATGAAAGCACCGCTTAGAGCAGCGTTACCTTTCCAAAGCAGATGGCCTCGTGTGGGCATTCCAAATGCCGCTGCGCTGCACTACGGCTGCAAAGGAGCTTCCGGAGACTGCTGTGCTAGGTGGATGTGAGAACACTGCTCCAGCAGGAAAGGAAGTGAGCGAGACCTGAGGTTTCCTAGACTCTGCTTTGTGGGCCATATGTGCAGAAAGCAGCTATCGGGCTGCTGTGCTCTCCCCGGTCCAAGGAAGGATGGTTTGGGGGTTAAACCACTGGACTAGGACCCAGGAGATGTGGATTGGATTCCCATCTTTCCCACTGACTCCCTATATGACCATGGGCTAGTCCTTGATCTCGCTGCGCTTCCCCCTGTGAAATGGGGATAATAATGCTTCCTTTGTCTGTTTAGGTTGTAAATACTTCAGGACATGGGATCGACCAACACAATGGAGCCTCTATCTTGACTAGAGCCTCTCGGTGCTACTGTAAAGCAAGTCTGATACCACCACCTATGAGTGTGCCTGGCTTCCCCTTCCATTAGATAGGAAATCAACATCTGTTAACATGACCCAAGTGCAGTTCTTCATACGGCAACAGGGTGGTTGCTGCCCTTTTCTCGGAGATGCTGATCACTCCTATTTAATGTCAAGCTGTCAGGGTCCATAAAAAGGAATTAAAACAGTGGAAGAAAGGGTGGAGCAGCCACAATCACTGAAAACAGATGTTTCCTGGACTATCTTTTCACAGTAAACATGACAGTAAAGGCTGGGACAGTGAGACAGCACCAAAGAGAGGTACGCAATAGACTTTGTCTAACTGTGTTCCTTGTTTCCATTTATAGATGGAAACACCGGGGGGAAGCAGATAGGAGGGCAGTTTTGGTTTAGATTCACTGACGTGACACCACAGAGCCTTATTAAAGGAATGTTAACATTTTGGGTGGGAAAACCATTAAAAAGAAACAAATAGGAGCATTAAGCAGACATTCAGTGTTGACCTGCAACATTGCAGTTTTGTCTCCCAGACAGATTTACCTAAAACGTTTAAGACGTTAGTTTACTGTAAAGACTGGGATTTTTAACAGGGAAATTCCAATGTTGTTATACCAAAGACTCTGTAGGGAGAGAGACTATGTGCACAGGGCAAAAAGCACCCCTCTGCAGAGGGCAAGCCCAAACCCTGTATGCCACGTATGTCCCATGTAAGCCTTCAAAACAGGATTTAAATAATGCAAAGGCTTTGTGCTGCTCCTCTGCACAGAGGAGAATTTCATCCTCAATGTATCAATCACCCAGGCAACCAAAAGGCATGCAGGGGCTTCTTACCTACCATGCTTTGTACAGTCTAACTACCATGCTTTGTACAGTCTAACATTTGCCTTCTATGTAGTGAAGTTCATTAAAAAAATAACTAACCAAATGCAAAATAAAATCAAAACACTTGATGCCATTTCACAGCAACCTCCACCTGCATTTCAACTGCGTGTCAGTTCAGTCTGGAGTCCCACATGCCATCTTTTCCCCAGCCAAGTGACAGACACTCCATATGCCTTGCTGTTGATCACAACGGATACGTTGTCAACCTGACTAAAGAAACAAGATCTAGAGAACCGGTTTGTCAAAGTGTGCTGAATGCTAAGCCAAACCTGGGTGGAGGGAGGTTCTGTACCACCAGCTTGTAGGGTGACTCCTCGGGCGTGAAATTACAGCAAAGCAGACAAACAACACTTACAGCATTTACAGAGTCAACAAGGGAGTCATTGTGGCATTCAGACCTTAATAAGAGCATTAAGGCTCTGAACTGATTGGCCAACCTGCTTTCCCACTCGCTAACCACATGGAAACCTACCCATCCACAGCAATAACTAGACAGACTTACAGAAAGACTCCTTGATGTCATCACATATCAGGAGGCCACTTACTAGCTCCCACAGCCCTGGAGCCCCAGAGTCACCCCCACCTGGCCAAGAGTTTCAGAAGTGACTAGTGATTTTGGGTGACCAATCTGACGCACCTTGAAAGGGCCTGTTTCTCAGAACATGCTGAGCACCACATACATATTGTTACCTCTCCTTCTCCTCTGGTCCCTGCTGCAGAGTTAACTTTTTTTTTAAACAAAGAGTTAAATAAAATATCCGGGGAAGCAACCAGCCAACCCTGCAACTGTGCAGGAGGATATGTAGCCGAGTGGTGACCTAAGCATTTCATCAATACTCATCCCTAGTGAGTGCACGGGACTCAGCAGACAAAGGGAAGTGCAGTGTCCTCTGCTACATTTCAAATGTAATTTTCCAGATTAAAGCCATGCATGGTTCTCTCAGGGTTGCACTATTTCCTTTCCTGGCTTCTCCGGCTCTGACCCAATAGTGTCATGTTAAATCAGAGCCACACTGCTGCACTGTCTGCCCTTTTGACCTTGCTACACCAGCTTGCTCAGCTATTAACCTGCAAACATGCTGAACGATCCACCTGCCCTACACAGCCACTGGCGTATGCTTTCCATCACATACACTCACTGTTCAACCACCGCAGCCCCCCAACTTCAGCACTGCATCCCCACACATGGACAAACCTATTCACAAACCATTCGCTGCGCCACTCTCTCATACAGCCACATCTCATCTGCTCTCTCTGGTGTGTGCTATTCACACAGGATGAAATCATAGAATCATAGACTATCAGGGTTGAAAGGGACCTCAGGAGGTCATCTAGTCCAATCCCCCTGCTCAAAGCAGGACCAATCCCCAGACAGATTTTTGCCCCAGATTGCTAAATGGCCCCCTCAAGGATTGAACTCACAACCCTGGGTTTAGCAAGCCAATGCGAAATGGCCATCTATGTGCAGGGGGCCAAGCTTATGCACCACTAAGTTCCATTTTAACCCTCGGAATAGGGCTTAGGTTGGGCCAGAGCTTGTGCTGTCTGTCCCTCTGCACTGAGGGAAAGTTCACCCACGTTCCCCCTCTCAGGCCCCTGCACAGGTTTCTACAAGACTGATGTAAACGTCATTTTTAATCTGGTTCATGATAAAACTTGGGTATAGTTCAATACTGCATCATCATTCTTTGACAAAAGGGAACTTGTACATATCCTTGTAGATCTGGGCAACTGAATCACAATAATTATTAACCCTTTTTACCCCATAGGCGGTTTCCAGGCATTTTACGCATTGGAGACAAGAATTCAAAGGACATTAAATGTTTCTTTAAACACACACACACACACACACACTAAATAAATAAATAAGATTAAACGAAGCCCCTGTGTTTTCACAATATCTAGGATCATAACAAGGAAAACAGAACTCAAGGCAAATGAAATCACATCCCATTAAAACAGATAACTAACGAACATCACAGTTTGTTTGAAAGTGCAACTTTCGCCTTGGAAAGTATCTTCTGGACAGGGTGATCCCAGGGATTTTTCTCTATGGTATGGACTGTCTTGTTTGCTGAGATTCTCAGCATTTCAGAGAGTCATTGTCTCTGCTGTGCTGCTGTTTTTTGTTTTTGTTTTTTTTCCCCAAATGCTGTTATCTGCAAATAATGTTTCCTAGGAGCAGGCAAGCAGCTATTTAGCAGATGAGGAATACTGAGAGAGGCTGTGAATTTTCCTGGTGCCAGGCAGTATCCTGGCGCACAGTCTAACACAGTCATTTCTTGTTATTTAGTTTTGCTCTTCTCTAGTCTAATACATAATAATGCAGGGAGCAACGGGGATAATATATTCGTAGGCAGCTGCTGGATTTTCAAACTGTTTCTTACCAAGACGTTCTGAAAATGAGCTGCACAGGGAGAGCAGAGACTAACAGAACTGAGAGCAGATGATATACTCTTTACAGCTGGAGGCTTGCAGAGTGAAATCACTGGGTGGGAAACCTTTATTAGTGAATCTTACAAGCATTTTTTTTTCCTAGGAAGGTTTAAGCAGCTGGCCGACAATATTGGTTGATCCTTTTTGGTCCGCAGGTGTGTTGCTAACCTCCTGTTTTTTTCCTGGCTTGCTTTGACTTCCGGGGTTTAAGGATGGTGTAGTTTGCATACGACGTATGCCGCTCGGACAGGAAAGGGACATAGAAAGCACGCAGCAGCTTTGAAGACCTGAAACCAAAAGGGAAAACAGACTGGTTTTAAAGTGATCATTTAGAAGACGTGTTTTGAAGTGCCACAAAAGAACAGCTGATGCCTAGTACAGGGCCTGGGACTAGAGCCTCGTGTCAGTAAGGTAGGGGAACAGCAATGAGACAGACAGACACACCAGGCTCCATTCTGCCTTTTCTTCATCAGTCAAACCAAAGCTGTTTTGTATCAGGATTACTGGCTTTAGAGCGATCAGCCCGACTAGCTCAGAACTCTTTCCCCACTGTATTGGCAGTGATTATGAAAAGATGGTTACTCCTAGACGTTATGGGCCAAAAGGCAGACTGTTCAGCCATGATGAGGTTGCACAGGGCAGTTATTCCAAAACTCCCCGCCCCGGAAGAGCAGCAAGGGAGACGCTAAGAGGCAATAAGTTAGCTGCTTTGCACTCGGCTTTTCCGTTTTCCTAATGTCTACTCATTTTAGGAAGCATGCTCTTCCCCCCCTCTCCCCCAACAGAATCCCTACAGCAGAGACGGAAAGAACCCCAAAAGGCTCTAGGGTTTCAGCATATCGCTCTTCTGCTGCAGCACCTCAAATTAGAGACGGGCTGAACCATCCTGTGTCCTGCCAGGTGACTTGCTCCAGGCTGTCGGTCTTCAGAGGGATGTTTACCCCGACCCTCTTGGGTGGGGAACTGGTGTTTAGCAGCAGCACTTTGCTACAATTGGACCAATAGAGCACTTGTGTGAGACAGGCTTGATGGCTGTATCAAATTAGTATCCTTTTGTTTGGCTGCTAATTGTTGTTGCACTGCTAAGTTGGTACATTTTAAGTGCATGTATTCTTCCACTGAGCAGATAACTTAAATCCTTGTTTAAATAAGGAGTGCCAAAATAAGATAATTTCCTTCATCATCAGCGCTGAAAATTCCACTGGAAAGACATGCAATCTTTAGCAATTTCTAGAAATTGGTGCTGGGGCAAGGGTGTTTCATTCTGAATACCAAAGCTAATTTTAAGACTTATCTCTTTCAGATTACATTGCTGGGAAACCATCAGCCTTGATAGATGTATAACTAATGCCATCAATGCAAATGCCTGCCAAGTAGCAAAAGGCTGGATAAGAGCAGCAACGGTCAAATCTGTGATTTATAACATGCTGAGAGGCCAGGGACAGCACATAGATCCAGTGTGTGTTATCTGGACACTCCTGAGATGCTCAATAATTCGAGTAGCGTACTGATAACACAGCAGAGATTGTGGAATCAAATGGAATCTTACTAGTGCTGCTTGTGCAGTATTCAATTCACTCTATTTAAGGAAAAGGCGGCTGGTGGGTTTGCTTTTGTTTAGAAGCAGCATGAAACATATTTCTAAATCAAAGATGCAGCTGAAAAACAATGACAGGAACTGCCATTGTGAACATAGGCTCCACGTGGATTCCAAAGGCACTTGGAAAATTCAGTGCGTCACACTACTTGGGATCTAATGGAGACCACCAAACTCGTGATCTCTTGCAACTTGGAATACAGGTTTCCGCAGGGAAAGGCATAATTTATTATTTGTATTAAAGTAGAGCCCACTGGCCCCAATCAAGATCAGGCCTCATTTTGCTTGGTACTGTACAAACACTGAGTAAGACAGTCCCTGCCTGAAAAGTTTACAATCTAAATAGACGACAGGTAGGGGAAAGGGAAGTGTCATTATCTCCAGATGGGAAACTGAGGTACCAAGAGACTTGACCAAGCTCTCAGAGGCAGAGCAGAGGATTGAACCCAGTTTTGCCTTAACCAAAGGGCCACACATCCTCTCAACACCCACCATCCCTCTTGTCTGCTTTTAGCCAAGCACAAAGACTGCCTTTTGGGATGTAAAATGACATTTACTTCATTTCAGAAGGGTGAGAACCAAAAGTTCCATTCATTTTCTGCAATAACATTTGGGCTCTTTGCAAATTATAAAGCACCCTGCATGATCCCAAAATAAAAGAACCATTGGAAATCCTCATTCCTCGTGAGATCCTGAGCTGCTGGAATGGGAATGTGTTCTAAGCACAATCGCGTAGTAGCAAATAACTAGGAGGAAGATGGTAATTTTCACATATTTTGAACAAGGAGCATTCTTTCCAGCTGTCATTTCTCTGTGCTTGGAAATTCAAGTCTCCCCCCCCGCCCCGTTAAACAAGAATGGCTGGAGGCAAAGGCAACTTCCTCACAAAGCAGTTCTTGCATTTCCTTCTCCGCATCTTGGAGCTAACTAATGAACACCATGTCATTGCTGTGCTTTGCATTGGCATCTCCCCACCGCGGCTGGCAGCCCACTGCCACCCGAGCCAACAGTAACACAACACTTGGCAGGCACAAACACTGAGATCCCACTATCCTGAAGCTTGGAGCTCACTGTTGAACGGCTTTAGTTTCACTTCATTTGACTCAAGAAAAAAGCAATTTCAAGCTGTTTTGGATGCTTGTTAAAAAACAGGAGCATGAAAAATGAGAGTGAGGAAATTGGCCTGCTGAGCTAGGAAAGTAGCAAAGACCAGCACAATCCCCCAAGCTCTGGGCTTGATCGGGGTAGGGGAGAGCAGCATGTGTTAAAGTGAGGTTGTTTCTTTAATTTCCCATATGAAGCTGGGCTAGAGGACAGAAAGGAAGGGGGCACCCCTGACTGCACTCCTTTGCACACAGTCTGCAGCACAGGGACAGCCTTAATTCATGCAGCCCTCTCCATACTCATGTCATGTTGACAGCAGCTCGACAACAGAGTCTCGTCCTCTGACTCAGAGCCACGTCGACACAATGGGAGCCCATTTTGCCCAGCAGCTGGTGACAGAGACTGATTTTTGAAGCAGCAACGCTCAGTAGCTGAAATCCCCAAGTTAGCACCAGCATAGAAGCATAAAAAATGTAGGGCAGGAAAGGACCCCAAGAGGTCATCAAGTCCAGCCTCCTGCGCTGGGGCAGGACAAGTAAACCTAGACGATCTCTCACAAATATTTGTCCAACCTGTTCCTAAAAAACTCCAATGAGGAGGATTCCACAACCACCCCTGGAAGCCTGTTCCAAAGCTTAACTGCACTTAGAAAGATTTTCCTAGTATCTAACCTAAATCTCCCTTGCCCATTACTTCTCCTCTTACCTTCAATGGCCATGGAGAACAATTCATCACCCTCTCCTTTTTAGAACAGCCCTTTAACATAGCTGAAGACTTAACAGGTCGTTCCCCCACCCACACACACACACCTTTTTCTCAAGACTCAACATGCCCACTTTGTTTAACCTTTCCTCATAGGTCAGGTTCTCTAAACCTTTTAACATTTTCGTTGCTCTCCTCTGGACTCTCTCCAATTTGTCCACATCTTTCCTCAAGTGTGGCACTCACAACTGGACCCAGCACTCCAGCTGAGGCCTCACCAGGGCCAAGTAGAGTTGGGACAATTACTTCCCATGTCTTATCTATGGCACTCCTATTAATATGCTTTAGAATGTTCGCCTTTTTCACAACTGCACTACATTGTGGACTCAAATTCAATTCGTGGTCCACTATAATCCCCAGATCCTTTTCAGCAGTATTATCACCTAGCTAGTTAGTTCCAATTTTGTAGTTGTGCATTTGATTTTTCATTCCTAAATGAAGTACTTAGCACTTGTCTTTATTGAATTCCATCTTGTTGATTTCAGACCAATTCTCCAATTTGTCAGGGTTGTTTAGAATTCTAATCCTGTCCTCCAAAGTGCTTCCAACCCCATCCAGCTTGGTGTCCATCTGCAAATTTTATAAATGTACTCTCTACTCCATTATCCAAGACACTAGTGAAAATATTTAATAGGACCAGAGCCAGGACTGACCCCTGTAGATATGCCCTCTCAGTGTGCAGCGAGCCACGCTTTGAGGACTGTCTTACAACAAGTTGTGCACCAACCTTATGGTACTCACGAAAGCTTATGCCCAAATAAATCTGTTAGTCTTTAAGGTGCCACCAGACTCCTTGTTGTTTTTGTACGATACGACACTGAAGCACAAGGCTGCTCTGTGCTAAATAGCCACACGCACTAAGGCAAGTCTCAGAGGCTTTGTCTACAACAAAGAAAGCAGGAGTTGTAATTCACGGCTGGTGCAGTTCCGTTAGAAACTTAATTGAGATAGGGCTCAAGCATCTTTACCATCTGTTGCCAAACCCAGAGCTTCTAAGACAACAGGTGACATGTGAAGGGTGGGGGGAAATGGATGCAACTGAATCTATACCATTTTCATATATATTTGCTTCTCTTTATTTGTCCACCTGGAGTTTGTGGGTGTGGCCTTGATCAGCACAGAGCTCCTATTCAGCAAGCCACTAGCTAGATCAAACCCATGAATTGTTACTCTACAGTAGAGGATAAAGGGTCTAATCCGATGCTCGCTGAAGTCAACGAAAAGCTTCCACTGACTTCAATGGCCATTGGATATGGGCCCAAAGTGTGAATGGCTAAGTGTGTGCTCCCCTCCCCCCTTCAGAGATTTGTCTTGTTTTGAGGGAGGAGATTAAATACTTTAGGAAAGAAAAAGCTTTTTTGCTAACACATCTGGCAGCCTGAATTTCTCAGCTCAACTGAAGGTCAAATGCCTGCCAAAGATGGAGTTTCTGAAGTTAGCACTAGTAGGAAGAAGAGAAGGTAATGGAGGGACAGGAGGCAGAGAGGGAGAAAGGAAGTGAAGTTGGAACTCTGCCACAGATACAGGGGTTGGGATATTGTGGTTCTCTCTGCACACAGGGAGTCCAGGAGCAGAGGCATAGCCATGACCGAAGCTGTCTGTGCCCTACTGCACACCTATTAACATTTGCATTTCTTTGAGGTGTAGAAAATTCCACATTGACCATGAACTCAAAAAAGGAAATAACCTTTTTTAAAAAGCCTCATACTGGATATGGAGAAAAGCAGCATTAAATGGTAGAGGAGAGTCTCTTACCTATCAAACAAGGGATATAATATTTTAATATAATATTTTAGCACAAGGTGACTGGATCACTCATCTTGCATTCAGACTACTTTACAATGGAAAACATAAGGGCAAGAGCAGGAGTGCCTGGAGCTAGCAAACAACTCAGCCTAAAGAGCCAGAAAATATATGCTCCTCAACTGGGAGCTTTAATATATTTCCCCTTTTCTATGCCAGAATGGCAGCACTCAGCCAATACAGAATTAAATGGACCTGGACAAAGCATCTGCATGAGTAGCATAATTAGTTGGTGGCTCGGAGCGCTCTCTAATTCAATTAGCAACACCATTTATCAGAGGGAGCTGAGATTTACATTTGCACTTGCTGACGTCAATGTGAGAATCGCAGCGAGTCCCAGAAGCCTGCAGTTCAGCAGGCATGAATTGAGCTGCTGGGGTCATTTATTTTCAAAGAATAAGAGCTGGAGTTGGAAGGGTTTTTAATGTGCCTCGCGCCATGGCCCTGTGCTGCAAACCTGTAATCTGAGCGGACTGCTGCTTCCCTCACAGCTCAGCTCGAGGTGATGTCTTTTTTTTTTTTAAGCTGCATTTTAATCATGCCTTTTACACTTACTTCATGTTTAGCAAGGGCTGCTTCAGCATTGTTTGTGTGGAAGCAGGTGCCGGATTTGATACACGCGTCATTGCACCCGGCTGAGGGACAGGGAAAATGCTCGGAAATGAGCAGTTTGGGTTTATAAAGGAGGCTCCTGAAACACCTTCTCTGACCCCGTGCACAGGCCTCTGTGCATATATGCGCACATGGGCTTTTCTGCACAGACTTCCCTGTGCTGCACTCAGTTGTGCAAGTTTTTACACAGAGTTTGGAGGTGAAATGTAGGCAGCTCCTCTCTGGAAACTGCCCATAACTATCAATAGTCCTGCTTGAGGTGATCATTTTATAGCCAGATGTTTTTAAACCCAGCCCAACAGGAGAACACCACCCTTTAGTGACCTGCTAGAAAAGATGAGGCACACACACATAGCTCATATCAACCAAACAGATTCATCAGCCAGCTGCCTGCGCTGTCCCTACTCTGGGGAGCCTGTGCCTTCCACCAGTTCCAAGTGCCTTCAGGGCAGAGTGGCAGGAAGAGGGTTGCATTAGATTCTATTTAAACTTTCTGCAGGGGCATTCACCTAACCTGCTGGAGCTCCTATAACCCGCACGTCACTGCTCCTCCTGTGTGGCGAAGTTCCCAGTCCTGATAATTACCCTCTCAACTGCAGCAGGGACAGCACGAGTTGGATTTGTCACTTCAAACAAATAAACAAAACAATTCTGTGCCTTCAGGAGCAATTGCCACAGCTTCTCACCACCAGGGAGGATGCTGGCACCCAAGATAGCAGACCTGTGTGATCTCTCGCATCACTCCCATCAGCACTAATTCACAGGACTGGTTAGAAAACATGCACTGCATCCCTGGAATAGTCCCTTGTTGCATTGCTCTGGTGCCTACAGCGACATTCACAGCTGGCACAGAGAATGGGCGAGATGAGACACTCGCTTTACTGGCCAGATCTGCTCTCCAGCAGGCTTGGTGTTCAGCAAGGCTAGGCATATTATGTCCAAGACCAGTGAGGGCGAGCAAAGGAAAGGCCTACTTAAAGAGCAGGCAACGTAGGCAGGGAATAGGACCCACCAGGAGTGCCCTCTTTGCAAAGGGGAAAGGGGAAAGTGGATGCTCCAGTCTCCACTCTAAGCAGTGGAATGTAGGGGCCACACCTGGGTTTGCAAGGTGGAATGGACTCCATCTCCTGGAGACTTTCAACCCTCAACAGATAGATCTGCAGATCTATGTTAGCAATTAGTTCACCAGCCAGCTGGTAACAACCCAGCTCCAGTCCTGAAATGAGCTAGTATCCAACTGGAGAACCAAGAGCCAAAGCATGGTGCTTCCTAGCCACTCCACTGATATTATAATGAATGCCTGCAGTGTGAGCCAAACAATACTATCTATCTAAGGCACATGTCTGGTCCCCCTCACTGCAGTGTCTAAGCATATCACAATCGGTAACCTATTTATCCTCACCAGACCCCTGTGACGCAGGGCAGTGCTATTCTCTCCACTGTACTAATGGGATACTGAGGCACAGAGGCTAAGAGACTTGCCCCAAGTAACACAAGAAGTCTCTGACAGAGCAGGGATTTGAAACCAGCTCTCGCAAGCTCCAGCCAATGCCCTACCACCTGGACCATTCTTCCTCTCTGACTGGCTTATGACTGGGAGGTTAAGCTGTAAAAACTTTACAAGCCAGCAGGACAAAACCAAGAGCTTTAGAAAAGGCATTTGCAAAGCCTTTTCCTGCCAGCGCACTAGGGCCTGGCAAGCACAGCAGGGCCCTGATTTTGGCTGGGGCTTCTAGGTGCTCAAGTGATACAAGTCAATAATGGGAATGGAGTAGATTTAGAGCTAATAAGCCTTGTTTACCTCTCTGTGCCACAATCACTTGAGTCAGCTTTGCAGAATTCATACTTGAGTCTAACATTTCCCTGGTCAGGCAGGCCCTGGTTCGGGGCACAGTTTAGCCTGGTTCCCTCAGATTAAGTCTTTGGGGTTTTGCTGTAGGGTCTGTATCAGGAGCCTCTATGGTGCTCAGAACAGTGTGTGAAGTACTTCAAAACTCCTGGGAAAAGAGTGTAATCAATAATGAACACCATGCTCGCTGTGGGGAGGAGTGCTGGAACTGCTGGCTACTCCACTCACACCCTGCTGAACGAGACCCCCTCTGCTGCCCATTCCCTCCTTTATGTGCACCACGCACTCCAGCCGCACAGACTCTGACACTCTCAAGTCCACTTAATTGGTGGGAGGACTGCCTGGCACAGCGCATCCTGAACCATGTGAGCCATCAAGGTGCACAGCAGGCATGCAAATCAGACCTGCTGCTATGGCAACCTGGCCTTCTGCACACACAAAGGCACCGCACCTCCTTTCTGCTCAAGCTGTGAGACGCTGATAGGGAACAGCGCAGAGAATTTCAATGCAGCAGGAGCGCAAGCAAGAGAAGGGAGGCTGCCCAGAGACACACATGGGGCCAAGACTCCCACTGGCTGATTATTTCTGATCCCCTGTCAGTATGTGCTGCACGAATCCCTGGCACCACTGCATTCACCTGGGAGGGGACAAGAGCTCAATAAAGAGCAGTGGGGTCCTTTGTTATGGGGTGAAGGAAGCCAATTACCCCCCTGCCCTGCCCTTAGACAATCTGTGCCTTTGTTCTAAATGCTCAGTAACTTCTCAACCAGAGAGTGCAGGGTCCAGGCTGAAGCAGGTGTCGAAGTGCCAAAGAGAAAAAGAGACACTGTTTTACCTGCCTCAAGAAGGGCCTGTCTATTCTTTATTATTCTGCAGTTTTACCGGATAGATTGATTGATTGATTGCTAAAGAAACCGTGATGTCGCGGTTACCGTGCTCCACAGCTTTCATGAGTCTCCCCCTTCTTCTGGCAATGTCACAACAAGTCTCTGTCTGTCACTCCGACGCTGCCATTCCTGTACTATGCCACCCCTCCCAATGGAAACAGCATAGCACAGCCTCTCACTGCAAGCTGGATGCAAAGCATCATTTGCCAATCAACAGTGACCCATGTTGAAACTGCCTAAGTGAGCCTACAAGGGCAAGGTGAGCACTCAGTCATCCCATCTAGTTTAAAAGCCTGAACAGCTGACTGATCTGATACCCAGCCTCTGGGCTGCCATGCCGTACGTCTGGGTTTGTTACTTGACCCCTGGTGTCACATAGTGGCTGGCTCTCAGGATTAAAATAGGCCCAGATCCCCTATGCCAGAGCAGGTGCTCCCAGCCGAACCAGCTAAGGTGGTGGGGCTGCACCTGGGCTATAGAGGGTGCAGGGAAGTCCAATGAGGTCAGCACTAGAAGTGGCACTGCTGAGTGAAGCTGCAGGAAGAGAGGGTCTCCTGCAATGGTCCCAGAGGAAGGGACGGTACCTCAGGGAAGAGGGGCTATGCCTAACCTAAGGTCGAGTGGAAGATTTTTGTTTGTTTGTTAATTAATTTAATTAAAAACCGAGATCCAGTGGGAAAAGAGCATTACTGCAGCTTCCCATCACCCGACTGCGTTAGTCTGGAAAACTTTAGCAGATCATCTGTCTTGTGCACCAAACCTGTCCTTACTAGAGAACCATGGGCCAGCATGTGAAAATAAGAGGGTACTGGATTCTGGGTTGCTGCTTTCGAATGGCTTTTTCCAGCAAATCCCTCTTCCCATCGCATGACAGCTGCCTTACCACACCTTTATAAATAAGCATCCAAGAAGCATTTAGAACAGGGAGCTACTGCCCCATAGGGATTGCACGTTCACTTTCAACCTAATATAACCAAACACTTCCCACCCCAGAGTAGCCTGGAGGATGCTGATTTCATATGCAGAAATTCAAACAGAATTAGCTCATGCACCTTTCTGCCCCTGTTCTTCCTTCCCAAACTTGTGAAAACACTTACCTAGAAGTATCCAGGAATGGTTTGTAGGCAATGCTGATCCATTCTTCTTTGTTGGCGGAGTATCTCGGCTCCCTTGATGTTTCAATCGCTTTATCTAAATCCACCAGGTAATGGCATTTGGAAATGTCAATCTGCAGGGAAAAAGGAAACCTTATACTTTATGTAGTGAGGTGCATTCTTCACTTCCTATCCTAAACCACGGTGTATACATTCTCATGCAATGTCGAACCACTACCACGTTTCACCCCAGAGCTGGCGGCATTTCAGTGGTGGGGTAAATGCTCTTTCAAACACAGTTAGAAAACTTGGTGAAGTGTTTTGGATCTATTGAGATGAAAGGTTCTATAGAAATGTAAGATATTACTACTACTGCTGCCGGGGGCTGCTTCTCTAGAGCAAAGACGACATACCCCGTGTGAGCAATTTCAAGGAGGATTACCTCCCTCAGCCCACTTATTACCATAATGCAGAGTGAAGCAAGCATTCAGCAATGCACCTCAAACAAGTGCATGGAGCAACCAGAAATACAGCTCACATGAGCGCACGGGGAGAGAAGTGTTTTTCGGGAGACCAGAGAAACAATAAATGTGTGGAATCTGGCACGTGCACCAACAGTTCCCGCGCTGAAGAACTTACAATCTAAGTGAAGCCAACAAAGTCTTCATTCAACACCCAATGGAAAGCCTTCCAATGGCTTCAATGGGCTTTGAATCAGTTTGCATGTGAGCGCAACACCACCACAGTGCCACATGTACGACAACTCATCTTCATCCAGAAAACATCACGTCTGCCTGCTCTCAAGAAACAAGATTCTCGCCCTCAAACTCACTCTCAACTGGCACGCACACACACAAAAAGGAGCCAGAAGGGAACAAGGACTTCAACACAAAGTCAAGGTGTTAGGAAAGCCCCGCTGTCTCTGGGCACACGCAGTGCTTGCCCTAGGTCAAGCGATGCAATTACTCAGGGTCTAAAACCCCACCTCAAACATAGGTCGCCTTTTCAGATTAGCAGCGGAGTCATAACGACACAAGGAAACACCAGGGGAAAGGCAATGAGAGAGAGTGAGAAACTACAGGCGGCAGCAGCTGTGGCCAAACTAAACACAGCCTGTTCTCGGGGGCTGGCAGGAGAGGGATTTCATCAGAAAGTATCTGAACAAAGCCTCTTCCTTAACTGCTCTGGGGGCTGTTAAACACCATACCTCACCATTCACTGGAGCCCGCTCCAACGCCAGTGGAGCTGTGCAAATGTTAAAACAGGCAGGGACTGAACTCTGCACTGCGACTGCAAGGACCAGCCCTTTAGGCCTCTCCCCTCTGGCAAGCTCGGCCTGACTAGTGAGCGAGGGAACTGGAAATACCCCACTGTGGGTGGCTAAGCGGGTGTTGCTGAACTGGCAAAGGTGAGTTACCTCAGAAATTACTGTGGGGTCCATGGGCCATGATGGGGCAGACCAGGCTGGTTCGGAAGGAGGCAGAATGAGGCTCTTGGCAGCTCCGCTGTTTGCAGGAAGGCCCAGGGAAGTTGAAGTGGCCATGGAACCGTCAAGGGAGACAGAGCATCTAGTGACTAAGGCTCAGAGACTCCGGGGACCCCGGTTCATTTCCCAGCTCAGTTAAAGACTCCCCATGTGACCCTACGCAAGTCACTGCCTCTCTATGCCTCAGTTTCCCCTCTGTAAACTGGGGACAGCACCTCCCTACCTCACATGAGGATACAATCTAGTCGTGTCTGTGAGGTGCTCGGATCCTACTGTGGCTGGCAGTTAGAGGAGGCTGAGGTTCATCCGCAGGTAACTGCCCCTGAGTAAGCCAGAGTCTGACCCCGACCTCTGGCAGACCAGGAGGATCTTTCACTGAGGCGGCTCTTCCAAAGCCATTTCTCCATCATCGCACACTCCACTTCCCAGCTGTGACAGTCAGTGGGGGATGGTCGCTGTGTCTCCTCGGAGTAATATGGTCCTCAAACAAGGTGAAACCCAACTGAGCAGCCACTCTTCCCTGCTTGCCTACAAACAGGGCGAGAGCCTTAAATCTGTCTGTGCAAATGGGATGCTCCTCCTGCAGAAGGAAGCACGTCGTGGGCTGGCATCGCAACCCAACTCCTCACTGCTTAGTGATTTAAACGTGTATTGCCCCCTTCCTCAATGGATAAGAAACGGAATTCTGGAGTTCAAATGCTCGCACAACACTAACTCAGCTATATTGCACAGTCAATATAATTCACTCATCACAAAAATCACAACATTACTGTTTATTGTTTACCATGCAGTATGCAAGATGTGCTATGTAGCTTAGCTAGCACAGTGGGAGCCACCTCAACTCTAGGAATTTCCTAACTTTTGATTTCTCAACTTTAATATTTTCGCATTGGGCTAGATTTTGGGAGTTATTTGCTATTCAGTTCCACTCACTGTTCTAACTTGGCACCAGCTCTCAGATTCTTGGGGTTTCCAGTCTTGCTAATTCTCATGATTTTACCGTGCGAGCTGCAGTATTTGGTACAATATTAAAGTCCCAGATGCTGGAGTTGGATGAGTATGAGAATCTCAGCCTTCGCTTAAAAAAATAAATAAATAAAAAAGGTTTCAGAGTAGCAGCCATATTAGTCTCTCAGGTGCCACACGTACTCCTGTTCTTTTAAAAAAAAAAAAGTTTCAGGTCTCATGGTTACGAAGAGAAGCTTGGAAACGACCTGAGTGTACTCTAAAGGCTCAAAATGGGTAAAGTAAATAAAAAAGAATCCAGTATTTACTATTTTTTGAAATCACATTTTTAAGATAGACTCGTGATTTTTGTTTATGCTTCCACTTGCAGTGGCTCTTTACTAGCACAAAATGTAAGGCTGACATTTCCATTTCATGCTCTCCAGTCTGGCCTCCCGTAAGTATGTATGTTGCAGTTTCTATCATATTTGCAAAATATCTGATTTTATGCAAAGAGACCATGGCTGCCCAATCGATCTCACATGTACACAGTAATCCGTTAACCATTTCAAACAGCCAGACATTTGTGCTAATCCACTGGCACATTCGGCTGGAGCTTAAGTGGATTCACAGGAAATAAGAAGTATTTCTGGCAAGATGCTCGCAGCCTGGCATGACTGTGCTACAACCTGATGGGGTCAATGCATTATTAATACCACCCTGCCTCGTTGCTGATCCTCATCACTACATTGCTTGGAGTGGACATCACACTGCACTTCCAGGATCATATGGACACAATATTGTTGCATTCATGCCTTTATCAGCAATCAATGATGCAAGCAGCTACTTTGCCCTTACAGAAAAGTTTGGCAACACTCAGCTGAATTATGAAATTGTATACAAGGAAGCAACACAACAAAACTGAATTACATTTGTGACCTCCCAGTAACTGAACTGCAGGCAGTGTCCTCAGGGGGCCTCGGTTATATAAAGATCCCCTTCCTGCTGGGAAGACCACTCCCTGATACGGACTGGCTGTGCTGTTCATTATGCCACTGCATCTTTTCCATGCCGCTATTCCCTCTTGCGGCATCTCCTACAGGCACACGCGAGAGGCTGCAGGCAGAGAAAGGTTGGCTAACGCAAAGATGAGCTATCAGCTACGAAAGTTCTTTAGCACTATGACAAACTTTATTTAATAAATAACCCTAGCTCACGAGATAGGTTCTTTAGGAGGTAGTTCAAAGATTAGTTACACTGTGTAGAAAACTAAACAAAGGGACGGGAGAGCGGTCAAGCAGTTAGTGTGAGTGACCAGTAATAAGGACCGATGGGTTCCATTTCCAACTCTGAGAGGGGAAGCTGATCTAGACTAGAATTTTCAAAAGTGCCTAAGGGATCAAAAACTTAAGTCACATTCTCAAAAGTGACTTAGGAGCCTGAATGTCACTGAAAGGCAATGGGACTCAGGCTTGCAATTGCTCAAGTCACTTTTGAAAATGGAACTTAGGCAATTTTTAAAATTCTACTTCTAGTGTTTAATACAGAGGACTGAAAATCAGGACTCCTAGGTTCTGTTCCTGGTTTTGTGACCTCTGGCATGTCATCCAACCTCCCTGTTTTCCCCTCTGTCAAATGGAGTTAGCAATACCCAACTATCTCTTGGAAGGGCTGCCAGACTTCATTAATTAAAATGTATCAAGTGCTTTGAGATTCTTGATAAAAGATGCTATAGACATAAAATCAATAGTAGTATTCTGCGATAGTTTGGCTGCTTGAATTGGGAAGGAGGCAACAGGGGGCTTAAATACAGTTTATATCTAATATGTAAAATGCCAGAGACTTCCTCAAACTGAGCAGAATCAGAGGCAGAATGCTGTTCTGCTCAATAAAAAAATTTGCAGTGCATAGTACCATTTTCACTAGACAGCTGGGCATTTTTACTGTGGTGAAGCCTGAGGGGAAGGGGAAAGACACACAAGAAAGGTATTCACGTAAAAATGTGAACTTTCAAATGATGACAGCAACAGCTCCGTTGTGATTAACTGCCATCATCCATGCACCTGATGGGATAAAAATATTAAAAGGCTGCTATGTCGCTCCATCTAATCTGGGCACCATTAGATCAGCACAGAACAATGAAATTGACGAGCAACTGAAAATGGCAGCTGATTCCTTCTGAACGCCTCGCTGATGTCTGAGCCTGTGTGCAAAATCCCACAGCTAGATGAACAGGAGAATAAAGCAGTCTCTCTCGCTCTCTGCCCCCACCAATACAAATAAGGGCACCTACCACCAAAATGTAAAGAATGCACTATGGAGTACAAAGCGACTTCTCGGGGCATTTTGTGCTGGGTCAAAGTCCTACTGTGTTTATCTTTCTGTACAATTTGATAAGGGCCTTTACAAAATACAGCATCCAAGCCACAACTGTTCTGATTTATATCCAGTGCAGAAAGGCGCCAGGTGCCTATTACTGGCAACTGAGGGAAAACACTGCCCAATTGGCGGCATAAGATCCAACTCCCTGTAACTCCCAGCAGCTCTGCTTAGATTCTCCACTGTAACCACATGTCCATCCCACGGCACATGAAGAGGACTCTATGGCAGAATTCCCTAAGCCTAGATATCCATGGGATAATGGCCCCCTGGGGATCCAGACACAGTGATCTGAGAGGGGCTTACTGCAGCAACCTGCCTGAGACACCAAGGTGGGGTGGGCTGGAAGGGACAGATCAAGGAGTCAGTCAGCAGAAGAAAGCATTTCTCTGAGGGAGGACAAGTCTATTTGAAAGAGCTGGGGAAGGAAAGAATGAGTTGGAGAAGAACAACAGCCCGGAGGAACTCAGCAAAATCAACGTTTAAAGGACGTCCCTTGCTGAGCAAGGGCCTTAATAGGAGTCAAGGGCAATAATGGCAAAATTCTGGTAGATCTGGGCCCCTTTCAATCTCAGTTCCTGCCCCCGTATAGAGGGAGGTCTGTAATGTGGTACTAAGGGTGTCGCTGAGTGACATCTCTTCAGCAACAATTTCTCTTCCAATTAAGAGCAGCTGAACACAATCTGAACTATCACTGCTCAATAGCGAACCCAACTAACAGAGCGCAGGAGTCTTGTCAGCTCAGGGAAACACAAAAGGAACAAAAATGACATAAGAATCATCAGCTGTTTCAGGAAAGGAGCAAATACCACCAGTCACTATGGGACTTTGTCTTATTAAGGAGGTTAAGCGATAAATAAGGAAGTGTAAATAGATTTTTCATTAATCAAATCAAAGGCAAGATGCGCTAGGCTGTGTTTTCAACAGCAGCTCCCCATGAATTAACCTTCCTGAATAAACTTTGTTAGAGGCAGCAGACAGCAGGTATATGTTGCCTTGGAAGGCTGTGTTTCTTTTTCAGTTTTAGTCCCTGACCCTATCCCTTTCTGGGCTTTCTGCAGTGTGCTGCGTCACAAGTGTCTCTTGCAAACTTTCTTGAACGTTTTAGAGTCACTTTACTGGAGAAACACTGGGGTTTGCGGTGAATTTATGTTGAAAACAATTTAATTAAGGGGAGACCAGATGGCTCAGTGGCATCACACTGGCGCCCCAACTGAAATTACACTGCAGGAAACTCAGCTAAGAAGAATATCGAATCAACTTCTTGCATTGTCAGAGAGGAGAATTCTAGGCCCATAGAGATTTTTGCTTGTTCGATATTTTGTTTTTAAAGCTATACAGAGTCCCTTTGAGAGAAACAAACTGCCGCATAAAACAATCCGAAAATACCAAGATCTAACACTCCCTTCTTTTCCTGGATGCTCCTTCAATAGGACTGAAGCTTCCAGTTCAAAAGATTTCTCAGAGACACACAATATATTTCCCCTGTACAACCCTGAGCGGCTTTTACTTTATTCTGATAGGTTAAGCGAAAATTAAGGGTGAAATCCACCTGTGGGCAGAGGGACAGCACAAGGCCTATGCACCCTATTTTGGGGGCTTAAATGGAACTTAAGTGGTGCACAGACCTTAAATAGGCCCTTTCCACAGGGAAGAATTTCACTTTCAGTACAAAGAGCCTGGGGCAATTTTAAATGTACAACCTCCCCCGCTCCCCTGAGTCTTTTTTAATCTGGTGCAGCTGCTCTGTAAAGTGATGCAAAAGAACAGGGTTTAACCACTTCCTGAGTAGCAGCAGGAGACAAAGCATGCTAAACAGGTGGAAGACACCAGACTTTTGTAATAATGCTCCAATTGCACGGTCCTCGCTGGCTAATGGATGGAACAGAGCGGATGATGGTCTGACCACACAGCGCAATACAGGAGCTCGCTTGCTCTACCATAGGCAGAGCTGAGTTAAAATGTGTCCTGCAGAACCCAGAGACACCCTATCCAAACAGCTCAAGTCAACAACTTTAACATGAGGCTAGCTTAGCCTTTAGGTCCTTGATCCTTTTCTAAAGATGACCAGGCACTCGGTGGGGAAAGTAAAAACAAAATATAAAAGAAGTCTTCTCCAAGGTCAGGAACTTCAAACAAAAGTTCAGCTTTTAGGTCCTGTCTATGGTACCTGCCAACACCTCCTTGTAAAAGATGGTATCAGCTTCACCTTAACACAGTTTCAGAGAGAAATGCATTTAGGATCCAACAGGACAACTTGCATGAGTAAGTGCTACTCAACAAGAGTAAAGGAAGCAGAATCAGATCCTTAATGCCTGGGAATTTTGAAAACCAAGATGGTTAAATCCCTCTTCTCCCAGGCACCATAACAGAAACCTATGACACGCCTTGTGATTTCCACACAATTCAGCAACAGGAACTTCCACTGGAGAATGAATAATCTAATCACTCCAACTGCACTAAATTCGTTGTCTTGTCCGTAGCTTGGATAAGGTCTTCATGAGACTGTCAGTCTTTAGAATCTGGGCATGCCACAGCTACTGGCAGCTCATTTAGTTCTAGAGACATCCCAGTTCTCCTGGTATTATTAGCAGCTCAGAATCAAAGGTTAGTTTTAAAACCCCACTTAAAATTTACATCAAGTAGCTAATTTCTGTATTTGTCAAAGTGGCTGCATTGAATAAACATATCCCAGTCCTTCTTCCTTGCCTCAGAAATAACAAAATTGTAGGGTGACATTAAGAGACAACCATGAAACACAAATGTGTTTTGTTTCATTAGTCACAGGCTGTGCACCAGCCAGCTGTCTGCGCTAAAAATATGCCAGAGTTAAAGATTTTGTAAATTAAATGCACTGCAGTAGACAGCTCCTCTCAGGTGGGAATCCGCCTCCTTCCCCTTTCCAATAACCATGTAATAGATCTTAAAATAACAGAGCCTGAATCCTGAAGATTGATTCTTGCTTTGTTACCTATACAATTTCCTCTAATGTTGTCGTGTCAGATTCAACCCTACTCTCGAGATCAAATCTGCAGACTCTGCCATGCTGTCATTGTGAGCCAAGATCCTCAGCTGGTATAAATGAGCATGTGTGCATTGACTTCAATGGAGGTATGCAGTTTACATCGGGTCTGCTAGTCTGAGTGCTTCCCACAGAGTCACGGACTGCATCGAGGGCACCCTTCAAAGTGCTGAGAATGGAGGAGGAAAGGCATCATCTGCTTCTTGGCAGTTCATCTTATTCACCCCTTTCGACAAGAGGAAGGATGGTTCCACGGTTAGAGTAGTCACCTGGGACCCAGGTTCAATTCTTGACTCTGTCACTGACGTTGAACAAGTCATTTAGCCTCTCTGTGCCTCAGTTCCTTGTTTCTAAAATAAGGCAAGTAGCATTTCCCTACCTGGCCGGGGTGTTGTGAGGATAAATACATTAACAATCACGAGGCACTCAGATACTTCAGTAATGAGGGACGGATAGGAGGGATAGATGGATGGGCAAACATTCATAATGCAATACTCCAGGCATTCCCACTCATAATGGTCAGGTGAGACAGAACTGTATTTATCTACGCTCAGAATTATTCTGATCTCAGAAAAAAGGAATAAAAAACATATTTAGCTTGGCACTCCTTTCTAGACAACATTTCAACTAAAAGGAGATAAAAAGGTCAGCTGAGCAGCCTCCCAACTGCACCAAGATATATGATCACTACAGCCAGCTGCTTGCAACCACACAACAAACTAAAATCTCCCGCCCAAAGCAAAACCTAACGGCAAATAAAACATGCAGATTATTGTTCAGATACTATGGAACCCTAAGACAGAGACAGCTAGTACCTGTATCTATGTCACTTAAACACTCTAAGCCGTGCCTCCAAAGAAGCCTTAAGGGGGAAAAAAATGGGGAAAAGGCTGGGTCCTCTGAAAATTGCTTCTGTACTTCGACTTAATCTGCTAAAGAATTCTACAACAGGCCAGCTGGCAAGTGGTATTCTTGGTTAAGTAACCCGAGACAACCAGGAAAAGGAACAAATACACCATACTGATGCAGGTTATCTTAACAGATTCCTTTTGAAATCAACGGTGCCAGGGTCCCAATTGTTTCAGGTGACGCTCTGGACTAAACAGCTATTTCTTCTGTTACAAACCTCTTGGGCAATTTTATTTACTTAGTTTTAACAGGTCCAAAGGGCAAAGGAAAATGTCACCCACTCACTGCTCAATGACCAATACATTTCACTGGTGCGGGTGGGGCGGTGGAAGAAAAATTGGAAAGCACTGGATCAATCTAAGCTGTTATCTGGGATCAGAGAGTGTAACGGTGCAATACATCAGAAATTGTAACTACTGGGAATTTTCTGGTTTGTTTTTTTAAATAATCACTTCAAATGAAAACTAAATAGAGGTGATTTACAAGTAGAATTCAGACATTAAACAAACAGATTTTGTTTTGGGACACAGCCATGCAAACAGATTTTTGTTGTGGGTTTATACAGCCCCAGCACAATGGGGTCCTGGCCCACGATGAGGATTCCTGGGCGACTACAGCACTACTACTATTACTACTACTAACAATGATGAAAGAAAAAGAAGATGAGTGTGTAGCCCTTACATATCTGGATGGCTCTTCCCTGTTTTGGTCATTCATGTCTGCAGGAATGCTCCGTGTGGCCATTGGTCCCTTGGCAAACGGTTTCGGTAACTGGCCCCTGAACTCTGATGGGATGAACTGGAGCTGCCAACTGCAGGAAACACAGAGAGAAGAAAACCTGAAATAAAACTCTGGGAACCACCAGAATTTTGTAACGAGAAAACAAAAAAGTATAACTAGAGGCTTTCCAGTCTACAGAGCAAACAGTCCTGCTAGAAAAGCAGCAACGGGTTAGACGTATGCACAGAGCCAGCCCCCCATCCACCAAATTCAGTTGCACCTAGGCAAGATGACTCTGTTTGCAAAAAGACTTAAGCACATGGGTAAGAACCACTGAGGTCAATGGGAATACAAAGAGAATATACCCTCACTCTTGTAAATTTCACTTACAAGATGCACTCAAACTTAATAGACAAGTGAACCATAGCTGAGCCATCAGTGGAAACACAAGCAGAACTCCCATACATTACTGTGGCTCATGAAAGATACATAATGCACAAAGGGGAACACAAACCCACTCATGTCCTTTGTCCAGACTTCTGTTCCCCATTAATCCTGGCAAGCTTCCTTAATGATAAAAACAGTTACAAGACATGGCAGGCATGGGCCAGAACACTGCATCGGGGAAATGCATTTTGATTGCGGTGACCACTCAAGGAGTCCTGAAGGCTTACTGTCAGGGAGCTAAACTACATTCAGAAACAATGGACTGAAATTGGCATCAGGCCTTTTCCATCCACATTTAACTTTTGAACTTCATTTAATATTTGCAAGTCAAATAATTTTGGCCACAACTGCTAGACCAGAACCCACGCCAGCCAGGAGCAAGGCACTTCAGCTGGTGAAAGGAAGAGCTTTGTTCCGCACACTCTTGAATCAACACTCCAGCGGTTTTAAGGAATGTAGGATTCTGCAGCCACTTGTGCACTAATAGCTTGTATTTCAGGCCTTCAAGGACTAATCCCAGTACTCATCTACTGCAACTGCTTCACTGGGGAATCACCAACTGCTGTCTGCAAGCCCGGCAAAGCAGTAGGACGTTTGCCCATGAACACGATCTTTGTAAATAGAACTGTACTATCTTGCAGTTCTGCAGGTTGGACGGAGGGAGGGAGGGCTGTTTCGTTTTTGTTTTTACCCTTTCCATCTAAAATTAAGGGACATTACCTAAAATTGCTTGGCAAGAGTACCTGGGATTTTTGGGACACATTCCCGATGCAGTACACAGGGTTCTGGTGACTAACACCCTAGGCTGATTTGAAGATATACCCCTAAGATGGATGCAGAAAGCCAACTGACAGTGTCAGGAAATGAAATCAATTGGATCTTCCTGACCGCCTTTTAAGTAGCATATATAATCCTGCCCATTTCTTAGTCAGAGGCCCATCATAACGGGAACAAATCCCCTTCTCCCTTTACAGATGTCCAGAGATTTTTTCTGAAGCAAAGGCTTTGCTTCTTAAGGAAGCAACAGCTGCCCATTGCTCATGAACAACACTACAATAACAACCCCGTGTGCCTGGGGGCTGGAAGACCACTTCAAAAAGTAAAACATCATTCAGTTTCAAGCTCCCAAACAGAATGGCTGTGAACTAGAGTAACTGAAAGTACATCATTTCAGAATGAAGAACACAACCTTGACAGGACCCCTGTAAGAATCTGAATTGTTACCATCCGTGCACATGGCTCAATGAATTAATTAATTGAAAATATTTTGAACATCTGAAAAGCAAACAGATGAGTCACTCTTTCCAAGATCGCTGGTACACGTGGCACAAGTCTGAGGGCTTGGCATTATGGACAGCTTGTGAGATGAATTCTTGTCAAAACTATCCTACAAACTGCATCCTGAGAAGCATATTCTTAAAACTAATGGTTTTAGGATATTTCCATGCAGCCCTGAACTTGTGCATGAGCTACATCTGATGCTTTGGAGAACAAATTGAGACTGTAGATGTACCCTATGGCCTCGACATTTTATTTCAGATGATAATTGTTGCCTTTGGGTCTCCATAAAGTTTAAAGGAATGCCGTCTGCAGTCTAAGCTGAATTCCTATGTTTCTAGGGAACCTTGACCACAACAGGTGAGTCACCAACAGCCTCGCCCCTAAACACAGCCAAGCAGACATGGACAAACAAACCGAGATGGAGAATTTGCATAGAAGGGATTCAGTGGCTAAAAGACCTGGAGAGAGGAGCCATCAGTCAGGTAGGGCTGATAAATCTGCCTGTCATGTAGCGTCACTCGGAAGGGCAGGCTTTGTTTCTGAAATTACCGCCATGATATGCACATCTTGCTCTCACTTTGGCCCCAGTTCAGCAAGGGGCCTAAGTTCAGGCACACAAGTTGATGTCAGTGGCATGAGCTTCAAGCCGGGCAGCTGCTCAAGTATCTTACTGAATCAGATCCTTTATGATGAGCAACTTACTTATCTGGCAGGAGAAAGCTGCTCGGAAATCGGTACCACTCCTTCCCCACACAGACATTAACTGGCCTCCCCTCTGGCACTGTGTGAATAGTCGGATCAGTGGCAATCCTATGAAATTCTGGATACAGGTCCAGAGGCCCATGGTAGCCTACAGAGGAGGAAGATAGCGAACAAAGAGTGAAAAGGCGGGTGGTATTCTCACGGCTTGACTTGTTTATATTTAAGCCTCCCATCAAAATGCTGGGAGGGTTTGGAGTACATACCCAGCTACCTAGCTCTGGTATCTAGAGAGCACCCATCCCAGTGGCATCATGTTCCATTAAGACTAACGCCAACCCACTTGCGATATTACAGCAAGGCCAGCTTCAACTTCTGCCATATTGTCCACAAGAAGCTGCCAAAATCATGAACATTCCTGTCCTTGTTGTTTAATAACACGTTGATTTTATTTTAGGACTTTCCCATGCCACACATTTCCACTGTTCAAAGAGCTTAGCTTAACTGAGAACATAAAAAGGGAGATTCCACCAGGGCTTTGTTAAAGTATAAAAGTTCATATCAGTCACAAGCCAAGGTTTGCTAACCTTGGCTTAAAGAACATAAAGTGATTGCTGGATGACTGTAACTGAAATATTGCATGTGCACCCAGAGCAAAGGATGGGCCTGTAGTAAAATTAAGAAATATAAAAATAACACTATAGATAAATATTCATACAAAGCCTCAAGTGCTTTCAGGGCCTTCTTAACTGATAGCTTCATAAATAAATAAAATAATCTACACTAAAATGTAGTTAGGATCCAAATCCCATTTCAGTTCCTTGTTATAACATGGCACTTTTATCACCACTCTCCTGTCACTACTGTATATGGCTTCAATCCTGCAAATACATATGCCCAGGCTTTACTTTATTTAGGTGAGAAGCTCCAGTGAAGTTAACAGGACCACTTCTGGCCCCAATTCCAGAAAGCACATACACGCATATTTAACATTAAGCACATGCTTAAATCCATCTCCATGCAGGAAAGCACTTAACCACGTACCTAAGTACAAGCTTTACATGCTGAAGTGCTCTCCAGAGTATGGCCCCACATGTGGAAGGATAAGTACATATGTAAGCACCGGTCTACACACAGATAGGATACTGGTATAACTATGTTGGTTAGGGTGTGATTCTTTTTTTCTGATATAATTATACCCGTACAAGCCCTAGTGAGGAAACTGTTACACTAGAGTAATGGTGCCTTATACTGGTACAGCTTATCCCCTGAGGTGGAGGATTATTGCACCTCTATTACTATATTGTATGGTTAAAGTAGAACAACTTTTATGCACAGAACAAGCCCTAATTCTTTGTGAAGTGCCCTCTGGACTGTCTTGCAACTGTCTGGGTTCAAGAACAGGACTATCCTAAAACACCAACCTTTGAATAAAGCCACAGAGCGCGAGAGTGACAAGAGTCCAAAGAGAAAAACCGTCCCCAGAGCCAGCCAGTTGGAGGAGACTGTGTAGTGCTCCAAACGGTAACGCTGGAATGCGAAGTGGTAACATTTCTGAAGGGACAAAAAGTATTAACGTCATTAAACCTATGATGCAGCTGAACAGAGATCCAGCCCAATGCCCCTGGGGAGAGAGCCACCTGCAATGGGGAGAACAAGGGGTTCCAAATAAAATGCAAGATGTGATTAATTTAAAGGGACACTATCAACTTAAATTCTTTGGAAACTAAATTAAAAAAAAAAATTACTAATAAATCCTCTATAACAGACGTAGCTTCCACAGTCAGTGAATGTGTCTGCGGTCTCAGTTTCTCAAACTTGGCGCCTCAAATAAATGCCTAGAGCTTCACTTGCTTCAACCACATCCCATTCCTGGGAATTTGATTAATTTAAAGAATTATTCAACTGAACTCATCACAAATACTTTTCAACCCTCTTTTCCAGGAGTTCTTCTTTACTGGGCATCACAGCCCTCTCCAAACCAGGCCTCCCGCCTGGCAATTCCCCCAAACCAGTCCCAGCTGAGATTTCTTCTACTGCTCTCTGTGGGTGCCTCTCGCCAGGCCTCCCAGGCCCCTGGGTCTCTCCTTTCTCCATCTGGACTGGCTCCCTCTTTAAAGAAGTTCCATTTCCAGGTTTATGTCACACAATACTTGGGCACCTGCCTGAACAGCAAGCCACAGCCTGAAATAAGGTACAGGACCAGCGCATTTGCAGCAGTGTTTAAATATAGCCTTGCCTGACCTTTTCTGTTGTTGTTAACCCCTCTAAGGGCTTTTTTGCTCTTCTATAGATGACCTGACAGGTCCTTCTGGGCAGACCCAAAAGAAACAGTCTGTAACACACTCGAGTTCTGCCCCTCCCCTCTCTCCCCCACGCAGGAGGGATTATTCACTTCCTGTCCTAAAATGGTCTCTACTCCTCTTGCATCATTTGCTTTCATCTCATAGCAGCCGTGGGATTGTTATTTCACTGTTAAGCTTGTATGGTTAGCAGGGAAGCAGTTTAAATTCTCAGATGGCTCCTCCATACTGAAAGTAAATCAAGTGGTGTTAAAATATGCAGAACAGAGATACACACCAGAGTATCCTGCAGCCATGTTTGGCAGGTGTCCCAAACCACTGCGTTCTCAGGGGCCTTCCTACTGCACATAGCAATCCTCAGCCAGGGCTATAGAACTGCTAGTATTACAGGGCTTGATCCTGGGAGCAGGTAGCTCAAGAATTGCACATCAGCAGAGCTCGCGCGTGGGAAGAATTGCAATAGCTGCAGGTTGTGGGACATTGGCAGGGCTGGATAAGGGGCCAGGGACTGCAATAGCAAGGGATACTGCAGGTCGGGGTTACAGGGAATTGGCAGCGCTGGGTAAGAGGCCAGCACTGCAGTAGCTGAAGGTGTGTTAGCAGTACTGAGAGTGGGGCCTGGGGCTGAAACAGCAAGAGGTATTGTATACCAGGACAGGAGGTAATGGCAGAGCCAAGGGGAGCAGCTGGAAGAGTCTACTATAGAGACTGACTGCAAAAAAGAACTAGATAAATTCATGGAGGATAGATCCATCAATGGCTGTTAGCCAGAATGGGCAGGGATGGTGTCCCTAGCCTCTGTTTGCCAATAGCTGGGAATGGGCGACAGGGGATGGATCACTTGGTGATTACCTGTTCTGTTCATTCCCTCTGGGGCCCCTGGCATTGGCCACTGTCGGAAGACAGGATACTGGGCTAGATGGACCTTTGGTCTGACCCAGTCTGGCCGTTCTTATGTTCATTCATTTGTATTTTTCGTGGCTAAGAAATGAATAATTTCAGCTCTGTGATCTGGAACATTTTACTCTACAAAGTGTTTTAATCTACATTTATTAAACACTTTTTTAGCTCTTTAAAAATAGCAATTTCCTAATGCCTAAACAATACCATTTTCCTTTTTAATAAGGGAATGGTGAAAATCTTGGATTACAACAAGGACTTCCGAATAGCCCAGCTACAAAGATCAAATTTCATGGCTTTATAATGCGATCACATGAGATGCTTGTCTGGGATTGCATCAAATGATCAATCTTCCAGAACATTTGGGCCACTGACTATTCCAAATTGGGCCAGGGTTGTTCTCACACCATGTGAGAGAATTTCTAATGAAGGGCCGTTGAGATGTTTCAGTGCTAACGCAGAACACCCAGGAAATGTCATGCATATTAATATTTGGTGGCAGCACTTGACATCCATAGCCTACTGTTCAAGCTAATCCAAGATTTTTACATCATTAGCACATTCTATTCATACATTTATGCCATTTGGGGAGGGAAATCTCCCCGTTTTTGCTCCTGCATCACTGCTTTATGGGGATCGAATGATTCTGCACAAGTTCTCAATCAACCAGAACTGGAGGATTATGTTTAGCCAGCTACACTGGAAAAGCAGCAAACACATACACATTTTAACTTTAGAACGGTTGTGTTTTTTCAATCCCAGGGCTTTATGATCAATCTATGTGCCACATTCTGAAAACTCAAACCCCGCTAGCTAACAATCAGAAACAGCTGACTGCACATCATGCTCTTGGGCACTGCAGAACTATGCAGATTACTGCAGATTATGTTGCAGCAGCAGATGTTCTGCAGATGTTCCCAAGCCTTCGGGAGCAATGATATAGAAGTCAACTGGTAATTAAACCCCCTTTAGGTACCAGGTTATAAAACGCAGCACTTCCCACTGAAACCCACCTGAAGGGCAGAGAGCGCCACAGCTCCACAGAGACAGATGAGAGGATATATGGGAAACAGGAACCTCTCCTCTTTATGGGGTTGACTGAAGAAAATCAGGATCCAGATGTACATAGGAGCTAGCGTAAGCCAATATGGGCGACCCAGATTCTGGACTGAAAGAAGCATAAACCAGTCAATCAAGGCTCATGAGACTAGTGAAATAAAGACAAGGGCTTTCCCTCAGTTTTCATTCTCTCTCTCAAATGGAATGTTTCACTATTCAATCCCAAGCAGCACTTCCACTCTCCATATCATAGCCAAAATAGCAAGAAATCAGTCAGGAGTAAAGCTCGCTTAGTGGATTTCTGTAGGCTTCAGATGCCCTAAAGGTCCCAGAATGCAGGGAAGCCAGAGCCCAAAAGAAGCAGCAGGATCTGGATAACGAGCCTATAACTAATCCCAGGGAAAAAAAGACAAAAATCCATCATGACCTGAAGCTTCTGAACAGGAAATCAAAAATTCCTGATATTTGTTTGTTGTACTATACTAGCGCATCCAGGGATCAGAGATAGAGTCCTATAAAGCTTATATTCCTAATTGAAGTGGTTGTTTAGGTACTTGTATTTCCAAAACCTTTGTTGCTTCATTACAAAAATAACAGTGCATGTAAGATCTCTCAAGTAACTTGTGTGTGTGTAAAACAGGAAGAAATTAATTCAAAAATAACAATAATTACCCTGAATTTTAGTCTGACGAGGTTGCTCAATGCAATTTTAAATCCTCTCACCCCACCCCTCCAAAAGCTGTAGTGTTAAACAAATAAGCATAGAGGCATTTCACAGACAATAAGAACAAAGCACCCAGAAGAATGGCTTCTGCTGTTAGGCACAT